GGTCAGCAATAGACTCGTCTTCACTGGTCAGCAATAGACTCGTCTTCACTGGTCAGCAATAGACTCGTCTTCACTGGTCAGCAATAGACTCGTCTTCACTGGTCAGCAATAGACTCGTCTTCACTGGTCAGCAATAGACTCGTCTTCACTGGTCAGCAATAGACTCGTCTTCACTGGTCAGCAATAGACTCGTCTTCACTGGTCAGCAATAGACTCGTCTTCACTGGTCAGCAATAGACTCGTCTTCACTGGTCAGCAATAGACTCGTCTTCACTGGTCAGCAATAGACTCGTCTTCACTGGTCAGCAATAGACTCGTCTTCACTGGTCAGCAATAGACTCGTCTTCACTGGTCAGCAATAGACTCGTCTTCACTGGTCAGCAATAGACTCGTCTTCACTGGTCAGCAATAGACTCGTCTTCACTGGTCAGCAATAGACTCGTCTTCACTGGTCAGCAATAGACTCTCCTTCCTAGACTCGTCTTCACTGGTCAGCAATAGACTCGTCTTCACTGGTCAGCAATAGACTCGTCCCGGCGCTCTCTCACTGGTCAGCAATAGACTCGTCTTCACTGGTCAGCAATAGACTCGTCTTCACTGGTCAGCAATAGACTCGTCTTCACTGGTCAGCAATAGACTCGTCTTCACTGGTCAGCAATAGACTCGTCTTCACTGGTCAGCAATAGACTCGTCTTCACTGGTCAGCAATAGACTCGTCTTCACTGGTCAGCAATAGACTCGTCTTCACTGGTCAGCAATAGACTCGTCTTCACTGGTCAGCAATAGACTCGTCTTCACTGGTCAGCAATAGACTCGTCTTCACTGGTCAGCAATAGACTCGTCTTCACTGGTCAGCAATAGACTCGTCTTCACTGGTCAGCAATAGACTCGTCTTCACTGGTCAGCAATAGACTCGTCTTCACTGGTCAGCAATAGACTCGTCTTCACTGGTCAGCAATAGACTCGTCTTCACTGGTCAGCAATAGACTCGTCTTCACTGGTCAGCAATAGACTCGTCTTCACTGGTCAGCAATAGACTCGTCTTCACTGGTCAGCAATAGACTCGTCTTCACTGGTCAGCAATAGACTCGTCTTCACTGGTCAGCAATAGACTCGTCTTCACTGGTCAGCAATAGACTCGTCTTCACTGGTCAGCAATAGACTCGTCTTCACTGGTCAGCAATAGACTCGTCTTCACTGGTCAGCAATAGACTCGTCTTCACTGGTCAGCAATAGACTCGTCTTCACTGGTCAGCAATAGACTCGTCTTCACTGGTCAGCAATAGACTCGTCTTCACTGGTCAGCAATAGACTCGTCTTCACTGGTCAGCAATAGACTCGTCTTCACTGGTCAGCAATAGACTCGTCTTCACTGGTCAGCAATAGACTCGTCTTCACTGGTCAGCAATAGACTCGTCTTCACTGGTCAGCAATAGAGTCGTCTTCACTGGTCAGCAATAGACTCGTCTTCACTGGTCAGCAATAGACTCGTCTTCACTGGTCAGCAATAGACTCGTCTTCACTGGTCAGCAATAGACTCGTCTTCACTGGTCTGCAATAGACTCGTCTTCACTGGTCAGCAATAGAGTCGTCTTCACTGGTCAGCAATAGACTCGTCTTCACTGGTCAGTTGCTAGAAAGCACCACTTTGAGGCGCCTCAGCAGTAGACTCTTCTGAGTTCACTCAAAAGCTGACGTTTGAGTCGACTCAAAAGTCAAACTCCTCTTCACCAGTCAGTTGCTAGGGAGGGAGCACCGCTCCACGACCTAGCCCCCCAGCTTCCGCCCGTCCCGCCCTGTATCCCCCCCTCTCCTGTTTCTAGCTTCTCTCTATACACTCCTTGTCCTATCCATTGCACGCCTTTCCCTGCTCTCCTTACGACCCCTGCCCTTTCCCGTTCCTCGTATCGCAGCTGTCTCTGTAGCACCTGCAGCAGGCTTCCTTCTTTAATGCAGCAGTTGTATTTTATCGCCGGGTGTTCTTACATCCCCCCCCCCCTCCTTTCACCCCACCTGCCCTATCCCCTTCCTCGTATCGCAGCTGTCTCTGTAGCACCTGCAGCAGGCTTCCTTCTTTATGGCAGCAGTTGTATTCTGGCGCTGGTATTCTCACACTCATTCCCCTCCCGCGTCCACCCCTTCTACCCTTTCCCTTGCCTTGTACTGCAGCTGTCTCGCTAACAGCTGCAGCAGGCTTCCTTCTCTATGGCGGCAGGTACGTTACTGGGCACTTCAAGACTAGGCTTCCTGCTTCCTTTCCAGTATTCCCCACTCCTCTTTTTTTCCTTGAAGCTCCCCCTCGCCGCCCCCCTCCGAGCTCTTCTTCATGCTGCGGCAGTTCCCTTAGGGTCTCTCATTCGCTTCGCCTCCTCCCTCCCACACTCTCTTCCCCCTCTCGCCCTGGCGACTTTTGAGTTGACTCAGAAGTCGCCTCGTTTTCCAATCAAGTCTCTCATTTGCTTCGCCTCCTTCCTCCCACACTCTCTTCCCCCTCCCTCCCTGGGCCCACCCCACCCCACCCCACCCTCCCCGCCCCCCTCCAAGCTCTTTTTCATGCTGCGGCAGTTCCCACCGGGTCTCTCATTCACTGTTGCCGTCACCTCTCTTTCCCTCCCTCGCCCCCTCCCCCCTCCCCCTCCCCCCTCCCCCCTTCCCGCCATTCTACCCTCCCTCATCCCCTCTCTACCTCACTCCCCCTCCCCCCCACAGGCTCTTCTCCATGCTGCGGCAGTTCCCCATCGAGTCTCCCTTTCATTTCCCCTCCTCCTTCCCGCCCGCACTCTCTTCCCCCTCTTTCTCTTCGCCCCCCCCCCCCCCCCCAACCCCAGGCTCTTCCTCATGCTGCGGCAGTTCCCCATCGAGTCCCGGGGCCGCAGAAAGAAGCTGCACGAGGTGAGCTCCTGGCCTGTGCTGTGCGTGGCTGATATAGGGGCTGGGTGCTCACTGGTTGTTGGGTGGGCTTTGCACCTGAAGACAGCACACTTCGCCCGCATGGAGCTGCAGGGGCGCAGAAAGAAGCTGCATGAGGAGGGTGCTTGCATATGCCTGTGGTGTTGAGCTGCACGAGGTGAGCTCCTTACCTGTGCATGCCAGTTGTGTGGGCTGGGTGTTCCCTGGTTGTTGGGAGGCAAGACTCATGCTGCAGCAGTTCCCCATTGAGTCCCCAGGTCGCAGATAGAAGCTACACTAGGTGAGCGGTGCATGTGGGCAGAAGCAAGCTATTGGACGTAACGTGTTACATAACACAGTAACACAGGAACAGTTAACACTCACAACTGTCGTAACCAAACTAATCCTCATGGCCTGTTTGTTGTGCTTGCGGGCATTGCAGGTTGGCTTTGTCACTCTCATCTGCTTCACCTGCTTCATTGTCCGAGCTGCTGTGGTGAGTACCGCTTTTTCAAACGGGAGTGCGCTGGACTGGACATTTGCCGTGCAGCATGTGCAGCCAGTCCCCTCGCCTGCTGTGCCCCTCTCCCACCTCTATATTCTCTCATGTGCACCTTCCTCTCTCTCTTCCTCTCTCTCTTCCTCTCTCTCTTCCTCTCTCTCTTCCTCTCTTTTCCTCTCTCTCTTCCTCTCTCCCTTCCTCTCTCGTTTCCTCTCTCATTTCCCCTCCCTTTCTCTCTCTCTCTTTTCTCTCCTTTTCTTTTCCTCCCCCTCCCCCTCTCACCTCGGTTTCTTTTACTCAGATCGCCTATTCAGCTCTCGTGAAGTCATCATGGCTCGACGTGGTCGGTGACCCCTGGCTCAACGTTGCTTACTATGCTGTAAGAAGTTACCCGCCCACACCCTCCTTCTTTTGAGTCGACTCATAAGAACCCTCCCACCCACACCATCCTTCCTGATTTGCTATGCCTCCTAGCAAGGCATAATCTGTCCGCCACCTTCTCCTGCGTCCTCTAATCTTCCTTCCTTCCTTCTCCTTCTGCTGCACTTATCTGCACCACCTTTTCCAACCTTTTCAGCGGCTCATTCTTCTCTTCATGCACTTATCTGACGGCTCATGCCCTTGATTGGCTCTCGCCCTTTATCGGCTCATGCCCTTCCATTATCCATTCTCCCTCGGTTACACAACCCCCCCTCTCCTCCCAATCAAACCCCCCTTCCCAGTGCGTAGAGCTCGTTCCAGCAGTGCTGGTGCTCTTCATCCTGCGCAAGCTGCCTCCAAAGCTCCTTTGCATCCTGCCTGACTCTCCGTTTCCTCCCCCCCCCCCCCCCCCCCCCCCCCCTTCTTCCCCTCCTCATCCTCTTTTTCATTTCCCCCTCCCCCCTCCCCCCCACCCCTTCGTTCCAGCAGCACCAATGCTCTACATCCTGCGCAAGCTGCCTCCAAAGCTGCCTGCCCCTCTCTTGCCCACTGTTCCCCATTGCTTGCCCCCCCCTTCCCCCCTCATGCAGTGTGTGGAGCTCGTCCCAGCAGCGCTGGTGCTCTACATCCTGCGCAAGCTGCCTCCAAAGCGCAATGCCAACACCCAAGCCCTGCGTTAAAGGCACAGATGCAGTGCGCCTGTGCGGTGTGCTCTGCTCCTACTGTGCACTTCGTACAATGCGCTTAAAGACTGCAACAAACAGTACCTGCAGCACAAAGAGCTGTGAGCAGTGAAGCGCGGAGGGTGATGAGCAGCAGACGTTTGATTTGAATCTCTCCCAAGTATGGTACCAGTATGCAGTATGATGTAACCACGCAAAGCAGACAAGACAAGCCCCCCTCTACCCTAGCTTTTTAATCAGTTTGGCCCTTGGCTTCTGCCACTCGCAATGGCAGTCAAGTCTTTCTACCTATTCATGGACCACACTGCAGTGATGCTTTCAGGCTTCAGTCCTGGGTGGCTGGAATGTATTTCTTGACAGCAGGTTGTGTGCTCTTACGAACCTGATTTGTGTGGATCTATCGTAATTGCATGCCACGTATCATCGTTATGCTTTATAAGCTGTAGCTTTTGTTGATAATATCAGCATGCAGAGGTACCGCAGTTGATGGGCTGTCCAATCAACATAAAGTAGTTAAAACCAATTAAAAACATGCAAGGTACATGTTAAAACCTGCTTTCAGTTACAGTTACCAATATTGAACAACCACCATGCTCAAGGTTTGAGATACGTGCCACATTGCGACAGTCCAGGTAGAATCTCCAGTATCTTGCCCCACTCCTCTCCTCACTCCTCTTCGTCCTCATCGGAACCATACGCTGATAGCAGGCTGGTTAACGCAGCTTTCCCTTTCTCCTTGTCCTCTACTAACTCAGATGCACCCCCACCGGAAGCCCCCTGACCTGCTTGACCTGCTTGACCTGCTTGACCTGCTTGGGCCTGAGGCAAACTATCAACGTTGCCTGTGGTGGTTTCAGCACCAGAGCTCCCTCTAGAATCCTTGGTCCTCAATGCCTCCCCATCTGTAACCTTGCTCTTTGCCTTCACCATAAACGCCACCTTCACAGGCTTGGCTTCAAAGGCCGGCCGAGGGTCGTCCTGGACGAATCTGCTGAGTCGCTTCTCCGACGCTGAACCATTTCCTCCAGCTGCTGCTGAACTGGCCGGTATCGTGTCCGTACTGCCTCTGAGTGTGCCTGATTCCGCATCTACTGCTTCCACCCCAGCAGATGCGGATGCTTCCCCTTCCGCCCTTGACTGCATAGTTTTACTTCCAGCAACATCCCCTTCATTGGCTACAGCGACATTGGTGCCAATACGGTCAGTACGAGACCTCTTAACCGCTCCAAAATCCTTATTTAAGGACCTCGCTTCTCCTCCATCCCCCTCCTCCGCGTCATCCTCCTCGTCACTCTCTATCCGCTTCACAAATTTCTCCGATTTTCGGAAAACAATCTTCTTAATCATCTCCTCGTCTTCTTCGGTTAGTTGCTTCGGATCCGCTAATACCCCTCCGCTCCCGCCGGCTCCACCCGCCGATCTTTGAAGAACCTCCAGGACTGCTGCTGGATCGAGGGTCGCTTGCCGCGCACGCATGGATTTCATTTCGTCCAGCGCGGCGAGAATGTCCATCTCCATCTTGGAGTCGAGGGTTCGATTCTCGAGAGCGCGCATAGCGTCGCCCATTTCTTCCTCCTCTCGCTGTCGCTTCGCGGACGCCTTCTGCTCGTCCGACGCTCGCCATGGCTCGAAGTTCCTAGAAGCTCCCGACTCCATTTCGTAGTCGCTGTTCTTCGGATCCGTCTTCATGACCATCTCAGCAGAACACTTAGTGCACTTGAAATAGAAGCGGAATTTCAAGAGACCGAGGTAGGTATCCCCGACGACGTCCTCTTTCCGGCAGTTGAATTTCGTCCCCTTGTACATGTACGTCCCGCAGGTGTTGCATCGGATGCTCATCGGAAGCATCATGCGAACTTTCATCTGCTCATTCTTCAGCGGGATGCGCTTCGGGATCTTCGACGGATCGAAGTCCGGCGGGTAGTACTTGTTGAGGACCTTTCGCTCACCCATGGCTGCTGGCTTGAGGAACCCTGATTTCCTGGTGGAGGCGTGTTAAGAAGCAGCGTCGAAGTATGCTTGCACCAGCGATTGGGTGAGATGCTTGCCTAGTCAAAAGAAGAGAAGCGTCCGATCTAAGGAAAGATGAATCGTCTATCGCGTATGAACAAGCACCAGTTTACAGCTAGCTCCAAAAAAAATCTCCTGTCTCCATTTAGGTTCCAACCTTCAGAACAGGCAAGCAGAGAAAAGAGGGCTGCGGGAGGGGTGGGTTCTGACGGGGTGATTTACCCTCCCATGTGTGAAATTCCAAAGCTCAGTACAGGGTCATCATAAGGTATACCTGAATTTCCCTGAAAGCCAAGTTCTGGGACTAGGTGTCATTTGTAACAACGTGGGTGCTTTTCGGGCTAAGTGAAACGAAACAAGGCTGAACGCTGGCTGCACTTCGGTTGAGCAATGGCTGCACTTCAGAACGTCCCAGGCGTGGGTTTCGAGCTAAAGCCCTATCCAACCGTTTCAACTTGTTATTTGACCCTTTTTAATCAGCGAGCATCTCACCCAACCGCAATCAAACGTCCTTCTGTGACACGCCCTTATGACGAAATCTTTACAGCTATGGTGAGGATATTTCAGGCCTCAGTCAGACCCTGAATTTCTTCACAGAGGCAACAGACGACGGCAAAATTTAGGCTGAAAATCATAAATTCGTGAGAGCGCGTCTCTGCCTGACACGGTGTCACGCAGTAGCGTGTCACGGGATTGTTTTTCAGGGCTAGCTGTGTAGATTTGACACGTTTTTTTCGTGACACGCTTGCCGCTAGAGACGCGCCCTGAGACACCCAAGCAGCATGTAGAAGCATTGGGATAGTACTTCTCTGGTCGCTGGTTCTTATTCTGCTTGCTTGTTCCTATTCACCGATGCTGGTTTCTTCCCCCTCGTCTGCTGATAGGCTTTGTTTCTTCTTTTCCCGTCAAGCAGCAGCGACGTAGCTGCTTCGGACCCTTTTTTCTTTTGTGTCAAGCAGCTCTCTAGTTTAGCTCTTTAGCTGGTTGGACCGAAAAAGCGAAGGGCTATCATATCGGTCTCTGGTTGGTTCCTCTCACGATGGCAAGACGCATTCCTTCGATAAAGTTCCCAATCCGGTCTCGAGGTGAGCGTCGGTCGAATCATGTTATAGCAACCCTCTTTCATTGTAGTCTTTTTAAGCGACGGTTTGGTTTCCCGTCCTCTGGACCATTTTCACGCTGCTTTCACTGAGTATTCTGCTCTTGCCTCTTCCGTCGATGTGTCCTGATTCCCACCATCACTATCAGGTCCAACACCAGCGGCAGCACAGGCCTCCCAAAGCACCACCCCTTCGCCTACTATTGCTCGCCAATCAACATCAGCGCCAGCATCATCAGGAGCATCCGCAAAATCGTCAACACCAGCCACGTCACACGCATCGTCCACTCCATCAGTCAGCTCTCCTTTATCCTCTTCACAAGCAGCTCCGGTAAAAGCACCGTCTGCAGTTTCCGGCACTGGTGTGCAGGTCGTGGGGAAAACGAATCCCAAGGAGCTGGGGCCACAAGCAGCAAGCTTGCAACCCAGGCGAAGGCCCATGACCGACGAAGAGATTGATCTGATAGCGGTATGTCATCCCTTCCTTTCAGTATAAGCATTTGCAACATCTTGCTACCATTTAAAAGGTCCCCTCCCTCGACCCCATTCGCTTCTTTTCTTCACAAAGTGCTACCTATACGTTTCACTTCGAGCTTTTGCATCGTGTTCTGATTTCCTCCTCCCTGACAACCCGTCTTTGCCCTATCCTGGTGCATGAAGCAGAGTGGCGGAGCAGTATTTTTCTGAAGCACTAGAAGTTTCTACTAAGAGCTCTGAGGATTTCAGCTGAATATGGTAAATGGCTGAATCTGCCATGAGAGCTTTCCTGAGATCTACCGTCCATGGTTCAGGGTTCCAGAGACCAGCGCCAGGAGGTGGAGACTTGATTTCACTGCCAGGAGGATGGCAGGACAGACATGATTTCGCTGTTGGGTGGTGCTGTTGCTGGAGACCGGCAAATTAGTAGCAATGGTTCACTGGCATCGGGTACGAATTTGGTGGTTACTGCTCTCTAACGTGGGCTGCTGCTATAAAATATTACCGAACTGTACCCTGGCCTGTGCAGGTTTCTAGATGCATGGCACTTCCAAGTTTCAACTTCATTACTGCGCATAACAGTGCGTGCACTAGAACCTCTTCCTTTACCGGCAACCACTAGAGCTACTGAAGTGGGCACCCTTCAAGCAACCTTATCACAGTGCATTACTTACATGCAACAGGTGGTACTGTACCATAAATACATCCACTAGCAAACTGCAGGAACCAGTCAAGGAATGCCTGTGTGCAAAGCACCGGTACAAGGCTGAGATGGGACATCACATCACCCACAACAAGGCTGCCACAGGAGGGGCAGGAGGACTCCAGAGTCCAGTCCAGTTCAGGAGGGACAAAAGGCAACCGGCCACTAGTTGCATAATCAGGGAGGGAAGCGGGAAAGAGCGGGTTAGGGCATACGGAGCTTTAGCAGAAAGTAAGCAGAAAGAGTGGGTTAGCCAGGATTCAGTAGAGGGGTTGTGGGGTGAGAACAAAGGGTGACACAGTCATAATACCAGAAGGACGAGGGTAGAAACAGGCAAATGAGCAGAATAAAAAATGATGCATAGTGGGTAAGAATTAGTGGTCCATGAAGTGATGGTGGTCACAGGGTTATGGTGGGCAGTCAGTGGGAGTGATCGAAGTGAAACGTGGGTTGCGTAATGAGGTGGAGTGGCTTTTCAGCACAGTGCGGTGCAGAGTGGTTCAGTGTACTGTCGTAGTCCAGTCAGGAAAAAAAAGTTCCAGTCAGGGAGAAAGAGTGTGTTGGCGGCAGAGCGGTGCAGTCTTGTAGTGGAGGAGAAGAGAGAATATAAGCGTAAGTGCGTGCAGCGCTGCCTCAGTGAGTGTGTGTGGGAGAGAGAGAGAGAGAGAGAGAGAGAGAGAGAGAGAGAGAGAGAGAGAGAGAGAGAGAGAGAGAGAGAGAGAGAGAGAGAGAGAGAGGCATCAGTGCTTCGTGAATTCCCCAGGTGGAGAAGCAGCCGTGCTTGGCTGGTGGGAGCGAGAGCTCGGGCAGGGAAGTATCACTGCTTGGTGGTTTGGCTCTTTCTAATCCCCCGCACCTTCCCCCCACTTGCCCCACCACCACCACCACCACCACCACCAACGTCACTTTCCAAAGACCTGGAAGTAGCAACCTTTGTTGCACCTCCTCCCCCTCCTCTTCCTGCCCCTCCTCCCCCCCCTGCTGCAGCTGCCGGCCCCAGCGATGATGACAATGGCAGCACAGACCGGCCTTTCTCCTCCCCTTGCTGCGCCTTCTTCACCTTCTTGGTTGCATCCCGCACCTTCCCACCCTTCTCGCCTGCCCCTGCACCTCCAGATGAACCTGCTCCAGCCACCACCCCACCAGACTGTCCTCCCCCTCCCCCTCCCCCTCCCCCTACCCCTCCCCCTGGCGCAATTGCTATGCCCCCAGGGGGCAGGGCCCCACCCTTGCCCTTGATAGCAGCTTCCAGGCTGGCAGGAGAGAGCATGGAGGGGTGCACAGCAGGGGGCGGGGCGCGGGGACTGTCAGCGGAATTGAACGGGATCTGCAGAGCAGGGAGGGGTGGGAACGGTTTGCGAAACGGACTTCCCCCCCCTCCCCCTCCTGCTGCTGCTGTGGAGCCGCTTGGAATGCCAGGAGAAACCCCACTGCCGCTGCTGCTCAGGGAAGCAGGAACAGGAGAAGCAGAAGCAGACGCAGGGGCGGAAGCAGCAGCAGATGAGGCAGCGGAGTTGGGCCTAGAAGAAGAGCCGCCAGCGCCAGCTCCAGATGGGTACAGGTCCCCATACGCCTCAGACACCTCGGAATCGCCGCCGAGAGATGAGGGCACAGGGCTGGACCCAGCTGCTGCTGCTGCTGTGGCAGCGGGGTTGGCAGCGTTGGTGTGAGTGCGAGCGGTTGAGCCGGAGACAGAGCGGCGGAGAGGCAGGGCAGCGGTGGGAGGGAGGGAGGCAGGCTGGCAGGGCGTACCGGTGTGCACACGGCGCAACGGAGCCAGCCCCGCCCCCCCCTGCTGCTGCTGCTGCTGCTGGGAGAGAGAAAGCCGGTGCTGCCGCTGCGGCTTCTGCCCCTGCACCTGCTGCACCTGCTGCTGCTGTAACTGCTGTGGAGGGGCCATCTTTGCGCTAACCCCGTCCCACTGCAACTCCGGTGGAACCGTGGGGCTGCAGAAATCAGGCGTAGGGGACTGGGGGTAGTTGGGACCTCCACCCACGCCTATCCCAGCACCCATGCCACCAGCGCTACCATAAGCCCCCTGAGTAGGCAGTTGTAGCATCTGGTTTGGCATCTGGTTCGGCATGTGGTTCGGCATGTGGTTTGGAGGGTAATTGCCGTAGAGCTCTCGTTCGGGGACGCTGCGAGTGCGGAAGAACGGCGGGAGGACGAGGATTGGTGGCCCCTCCGGATTCTGCTCCTGCTGAGGCGCTTTCATGGGTAGCTGCTGCTGCTGGTGAAATTGCTGGTGCTGCTGCATCTGCTGCTGCTGCTGCTGCTGAAGGTGGTGCTGATAAGGATGGGGCGCGTTCGGTCGGGGGGCATTACACGGCACCATTCCCCCCATCCCCATGCCTCCAGCTCCGCCCATGCTTCCCCCCATTCCCCCTCCCATGCCTCCCCCCATTCCCCCTCCCATGCCTCCCCCCATTCCCCCGCCCATACCTGGCCCCATACCCCCACCCATCAAGTCTCCAGGCGGCTTATTTATGGACGATCGATCCCCGCTCACGCTCCTGCGCATGGGCGGAACAGCCTTCCCCCCACCAGCCCCCCCACCCCCCATGCTTCCCCCAGGAACTCCCCCCACGCCTGCCCCCATCCCCCCATGCATCCCCGCAGGCATCCCCCCCGCCCCCTGTCCCATCCCCCCAGCCATTCTTGATCCGCCCTTCGCCCCCCGCACCTGCTGCTGACTCCCCGCACCCTCCCCATAGTTCCCGCTCCCTCCGCTCCCCCCTAACTTCCCGACCCCATAGTTCCCGCTCCCCCCACTCCCCCCTAACTTCCCGCCCCCGTAATTCCCACTCCCCCCCCTCCCTCCTAGCTTCCCGCCTCCGTAGTTCCCACTCCCCCCACCTGCCACCAATTTTCCGCCTCCATAGTTCCCGCTTCCCCCGCTTCCCCCTGAATTCCCGCCTCCGTAGTTCCCACTCCCCCCGCTTTCCCCTAAGTTTCCGCCAGCGTAGTTCCCGCTTCCCCCCGCATACCCCGGGCCACCAGTTGCGGGTGGGTTAAGGGAGAGGGAAGCCGCAGCGCGGTCTAGAGAAGCGGAATTAAGGCTGGAGGCGCGCTTTCCGGCTATGAAGGCCCGGCGCTGAGCTAAGGGGGGGAGGTGCAACTGCACGCCGTGATCTGAACTGTCGTCGTCCTGCCGCTGCTGCTGTTGCTGCTGCTGCTGTAACTGCTGCTGTTGCTGTAATTGCTGCTGCTGGTGCTGGTGTTGCATCGCTTGTGATTGGCGCTGGGCTAACGGGGGAAGGTGCAACACGACAGGTAGATCTGAGCTGTCGTCTTGCTGCTGCTGCTGCTGCTGCTGCTGCTGCTGCTGTAACTGCGGATGGTGCTGTTGTTGCAGCTGTTGCTGCATCGCGTGTGCTTGGCGCTGGGCTAACGGGGGAAGGTGCAACTGGACAGGTAGATCTGAACTGTCGTCCTGCTGTTGCTGTAATTGCTGCTGCTGCTGGTGTTGCATTGCTTGTGACTGGCGCTGGGCTAACGGGGGTAGGTGCAACACGACAGGTAGATCTGAATCGTCCTCCTGCTGCTGCTGCATGGGCGGTGGTTGCCGCAGGGGCTTCTGCTGCGCATACTGCTGCTGCTGCTGTTGCTGCGGCGGCAACGGTTGCGCCTGTTGCATCTGCGCTCCCGCTACCTGCGGCGGAACTCCTTGCTGCGCCACTCCCCCTCCTCTCCCCCGGCCCCGCGCCCCCCCCATAGACCCAGACCTTCCCCCGATTCCCCCCCTCCCCCCCGATCCCCCCTTCCCGCCGTTCCCCCCATTCCGCCGGTTGGCGCAAGCCCTTGCGCCGATGCTGGTGCTGGTCGCGCTTGGACCCCGCTCCCGCCTGCCTCATCCTCGTACGCGTACTCGTCCCCTTCAGCGGCGTACGCGTCGTTGTAACCGTAGGATGCATGGTTGTAACCCTGCTGCGCTACAGCGTGGGCTCCCGGTTGGGGGGGAGCGGCGGAGCCCCCCCTTACGCGATGTTGCTGATTGGGCTGCTGCTGCTGCTGCCCCGCATACAGTCGCTGTTGATTCGTTATAGGCTGATTCGCGTATTGCCTTGACTGCTGCTGCTGATGAAGGTCACTTACGCCGTTAGCGTACGGAGCTTCGCCTTTCAGGGCGTGCCCAGCCTGACCTCGAACCTGAGACATCTAGGGTTGCTGAGAATCGAACCCGCGACCTTGGGAGTTCGTCCAGCGGCTTTCTGGCATCATCCCCACTACCACGTGTCAATCGCTCCTAGCCCTGCTGGGCGCGGCCTGATGCCCAATTGCATCCCGTCAAATGATTCTTAATTCGAAACTATGCCGGCTTGAGAGCGACGCCCAGGTAAAAAACGTCGCGGGTAATAACCGACGTTTGCGACTTATACTCTGACAGACAGAATCAGGATAACCTATTAACGATAAGTAACCTGGTGTGGAGGCTCCTGGAAATCTCTGCTCTGAACTCTGCCCTAAACCTAGACGATGCTGACGCAGTTAGCTGAGGGGGCTGTGCGTTGGTGGGGTGGGGCGGGGTGTACGGATGGAGCAGGATAGGAGCTAGAACAACAGTGCCTTCAACTTCCAAGGGTGGAGATTGTGAGCAGGAAAATGGCGGATGGGGAAGATGGGAGTGAGGTGGGGGGAAGGAGAAGTGAGCGAGATGGGGAGAGAGGGGAGTGAGTTGGGTGGAACGAGGGAGTGAGATTGGGGGAAAGGCTATCAACCAACCAAACCACCCACCACTCACGCCACCTCCAGCGACAGGAAACACCAATCCACATACGCGCTACTGCATCCTGTTGTCTCGTCTCCGAAACATGTGCAATCCAAGAATGCAAACATACGCCACAACAACAAAACATGTTTCATGATATACTCTTAGCGTATACTCACTACCAGGGCTTTAGAAGTCAGGACAAAATGCCCTGAAATGCTGTATATCAGGGTTTTTTTTAAGGTCATCATATTTTTTCAGCTTTTGATTTTTCCTAGGCCTGAATTTTAGGGGTTGTAATTTGAGCAGGCCTGAAATATTGTATGTTCTTGTTTTGGTCACCCTGAATCATCAGCCTTAACGGATTTCCAGCCTGAAACAGAATCCTATCTGACTGGTTGAGGCGAGCCGGAGCAGCTGTGAGGGGCGTGACTTGTCTTTCGCCAAAATTACGCAGGTGATGCAAGCTGGAGCACATGAGTGGGGCGTGATTGGTCCTTCGCCAAAATCACGCAGGCACTTTGACGCGAGCTGGAGCCGGTGTGAGGGGCGTGACTAGACCTTAGACAAAATTACGCAGGTTGTCAAGATTATATATGCTATATATAAATTGATAGGCTTGATAGTAGTTACTGAAACTTTCTGTAGATGGTACAATTATCAGAATTGAGAAGTAAATGATAGAGTGAGAGTACACACAGATATACCTAAGTGTTGTACTCTCTAAGAGGCGACCCTATACAGTCTATACAAACATGACAAATACACATGTTTGACACACCCCCTAGACTGCATAGGGGAATGCCCTAAACAAGCAGCTCAGGGCGGCACTACTAGTCGAACCTCTGAGACAAGGGTCTGAGAGACCAGTCAGAATGAGTACAAACAAGGCAAGAACAAGAGCAGGGCGGCACTACTAGTCCAGCCACTGGGAGAGGACACAAGTCCAGTCTGAGTATACGTATAAAGGACAGTACAAAGTCAAGGTCCTAGCAAGTGAGAGGCTACAGGAACTAGACCAAGCTGTACACAGTGCCGCTGATGATCTTTAGGCGCAAGCGCCTTCGTAAAGATATCAGCCGTGTTGGCACCTGAGGCCAAGTGTACTACGCGAGCCTGACGTCGCTGCTGTAGCTCACGCAGGAGGAAGTACCGCAGCTGAATGTGCTTTGCTCTGCCCTCGAGTCGAGGCTCCTGACACAGGAGGATCATGGCCCTGTTGTCAGCGAACAAGACCGGGGCAGAGCTAGGCCGCTCACCTAAGTCAGTGAGCAAGAAGGTCAGCCAGCGGAGCTCCTGTGCCGCCATGGCACCAGCGTAGATCTCAGCCTCACAGCTGGATTGGGCAACAGACGAGGAGCGGGTAGCTCTCCACGAGACGGCACCTGAGCCAAGGCTGAAGCAGTAGCCCTGGGTAGACCTGAGTGTCTCAGCGTCGTCTGCCCACGAAGCGTCTGTGTGTCCAGTAAGGACCACTGGCCTGCGTCCTCCTAGCACTAACCCCATGCCCGATGTACTAGCAAGATAACGCAGAACCCTCTTAGCGGCAGACCAGTGCTGCGGTCGGTGTCTGCCTGTGGCCACAAAGCGAGCCAGGATGCTGAGAGGGTATGCGAGATCTGGGCGAGTGCAAGTCATCAGGTACATGAGGCAACCCACCAGCTCTGCGTAGGGGCCGCTGGGCTCTACCAACTCCTCAGGCACTGGAGCGGAGAGCCTGTGGTCTACAGGCAGAGGGGTGGGCTGTGCAGAGGAGAACTGAAGGCTGAACCTCTGAAGGACCTGGCGCACCAAGTGTGACTGAGTTCGGGTGATGGTGCGCGCAGCTCTTTCCCTGGAGATCTGTAAGCCAAGGTAACGGCGCAGTTCTCCAAGGTCAGTGCACGTGTGTCTCTTCAGCAGCTCTGCCTTCACGGAGGCCAGTGCGTCCCTGTCTGCTGTGGCAAAGACCAGGTCGTCGACGTAAACAAAGATGTAGAACGGAGTCTGGCCAGCACGAACGAAGAGTGAAGGGTCTGCGGAAGACGGAAAGAACTGCAGGTCAGCAAGCGTAGCACGGAGAGTGTCGTGCCACTCACGGGGAGCCTGGTGCAGGCCGTAGACGGGGCGCCGCAGGAGCCACTGGGTCCCAGGAGGGAAGGTGCCAGACAAGCCCTGAGGGCGCCGCAGGTAGACCTGCTCGTGTAGGCTGCCCTGAAGGAAGGCAGTGGAGAAGTCGAGGGAGTGAAGCTCGTAGTCACGCTGAGCAGCTAGGTGTAACAGAACCCGAAGAGTAGTCATCTTCGGGGTCGGAGCGAAGGTCTGGAAGAAGTCCACCCCCTCGCGCTGACTGAAGCCTCTAGCCACATAGCGCGCCTTGAAGACAGGCGGCTCTCCAGGAGGGCGCTTCACCTTGAAGAGCCAGCGGCCATCGACTACGTTCACCCCAGGTGTGGGAACTACGTCGACGAAGGTGCCGGTGGATCTCCAAGATGCCATCTCCTGCTCCATGGCAGCTATCCACTGAGAGGCTCAGGGTCCCAAAGTCGCCTCAGCGTAAGTGCGAGGGGTCGGGATGTCGAAAGCGTCTGGGTCACCCTCAGGGACTAGCAGCATGGAACAGAGATGGGGAGCAGCCTCGGAGAGGAAAGCAAGCTCGAACTGGCGGTCCTCCGGGACGTCACTGCCAAGGGCAGGAGCACCCCCGACAGACGGAGGACAGGCAGGGTCAGAGACCAGAGCGGAGGCGTAGTCAAGGCGGCGGGTAGAGGCGAAGTCAGCAACAGCAGCGACAATAGCGTCAAGGCACGAGGTCGGAACAGACGGGTCGGTAACGAGAGAGGCAAGGACCCGAGGAACAAGGGGACGAGCGGCACGAAGGTAGTCAGACAGCGGGGGGGGTGCAACAACAAGGGAGGACGGAGGAGGCGACGGCAGAAGGGGAGAACGAGACGCGTGGGAACGAAGCAACATAGGGTGGGAGCGCAAGACAGGCGAGGCAGGACGAGCACGGGAGGGACGGTGAGACCAGACGTGCGACGGAGGAGTCGGGTCAGGAGACAGAGGAGGGGACACAGGAGGGGAACGAGGGGGGAGACGGGCCGGGGACGAGTCCGGCGGAGGGAAGACAGGGCCGTAGACAGGAAGTGGAGGAGACGGCCGGGGAGGAACCGACGCAGGGTCGGGGGACGGAAGGCCGAGCAGGCAAAGAGCTGACACCGGCGGGGACTGCTGCTGCGGCGGCACAACGGCGACACCGGGACCGCAGGCTGCTCCTCGGCTACCACCGGCACTCTCCACACCAGCACCCCCAGAGGGACCACCCCCAAGGCTACCGGGACGAGCACCCCCAGAGTTAGCAAACGGGTGCTGCGACGGCGGCGGCGGCGGCGGCGGCAGCGACAACGACGGCTGCAGCGGCGGCAGAGGCGGTGGAGGGGGGGACTGGGGAGGGGACGCCAGGGGAGGGGCGGCCGGCGAGGACTGAACAGGAGGGCCACCAGAGTCAGAAGACTCCTCAACCGGGTCCACCGACGGAAGGGGGGTGACGTGGGACACACCAGAGGGGGCGGGACGGGGAGGAGGAGGAGGAGGGGCAGGGACTACCGGGGAAGGAGTGACCAGGAACAGGGGGGGGGTAACCGGGGGACCATGGTGGGGGAAGCGACGGTAGTAGGAGACGGACTCGTCAAAGGTGACGTCACGAGAGTGAAAGAAGCGGTGAGACGGCGGGTGGTAAAAGTGCCAGTCGGACGCGTCAAGGGGAAAACCGAGGAAGACGCAGGGAATGGTGCGGGCAGTGAGCTTGTCCGTGCCGGAGGCACGGACGTGAGCAAGGCAGCCCCAGACGTGGAACGCAGACGCGTCACCAGGAGACCCAGTCCAAAGACGAGTCGGCGAAACCTGCGGCTGCTGAGGGTGCGGCCACAAGTTAAGCTGGTGAAAAGCGTAGCGCACAGCGAACGGCCACAGAAAATGGGGTGCACCGGCATGGATCATGGAGGTGCGAGCCACCTCCATGACCAAACCGATGCGTCGCTCAGTGACCCCATTCTGCTGTGGGGAGTCCGGTAGGGTGAACGTCTGGGTGATGCCCTCCGCACGACAAAAGCGACCAAGGACACCTGAGGCAAACTCGCCACCACGGTCGGAGTGAAGACGCAAGACAGGGAGACCGCGGTGGACACGCGCAGAGACAAGCAAGGGGATGAGAGCGTTAGGCACGTCGGCCTTGCGCTCCAGGGGAAAGACTATGGTGTAACGAGTGAAGTCGTCGACAAGCACAAGGAAGTAGCGCTCTCGACGCGGCCCAGGGACGGGGGCGGGGCCCCAAACATCTAGGTGCAGGGTCTGGAGCGGCGCGGCGGTAGGGGGAAACGAGGAGGAGTGCGGGGCACGGCGAAGCCGACCCTCGACACAAGGCGTGCAAGGTGGGGCTGGGGAGGAGGGAAACGCGGGGAGGGAACGTGGGAGACCAAGGACAAGACCGTGCTGGGACATGTGACGCAGACGCGGGAGCGCAGGGTGACCTAGGCGGTGGTGCCAAAGGAGAGTCGGGTGAGTGAGGGACGGACAGGAGCAGGCAGCAGCAACCTGGGTAGACGCAGCCACCTGAGGAGGCGCCCCAGCCGGGGGGGTCACGGTGTCCAGAGTGAACAGGCCGGACACCGGGTCCCGGGGGAACGTGGACAGGGGGGCACCAGTGGCGGCCTCGGTACAGACAGCATACCGCTCGTGGCCAGGGAACGTAGTGGTGACGCCAAGGTCCTGGAGGCAGCCGACACCAACTAGGTTCCTGGAGAACGAGGGGATATGCAGAGCTGTGAGAGTGCCCGAAGGAACCGCCGGACAGGGAAGGGTGGTGGAACTGCGGGCGACTACCGGACCGCCGGAGG